CTTGGTTTGGACCCAACGACAAACTCCACCTTCCTCAACACAACGTACGAAGGAAAGACAGACTGGCCTTCCGCCCCAGATGATCCCCGGCGAGGAGGAGTCCTGATAGCCACCTACAAAAACATCCCCTCCGAGGACTATATCCAGATCACAACCTCTTCTGTGGAAACCGTAACAATTAAAACCAAAACAATACCTCCCCTGGTTATCACCGCAGTATACGTTCCTCCCAGACACAAGATCACCGAAGAAGATCTAAACCAGGTTACTCATCAAAATGAACATGTAACATATATCACTGGGGGCGACTTCAACGCTAAACACTAGGACTGAAATAACTCTACTAGAAAACCAACGGATTCGCTCAAAGAATCACCTTCTCGCAGGCCAATATCAAATCCTTCACCTATACATACAGACAACCCAACTGCAAACCCTCAAACCTAGACATCTTCTTATCCAACATACAACTAGAATACTCCATGAAAACAATAGACGACCTATCCTCGAATTACCTCCGAGTAATTCTAACCATTCACACCAATCAAAATCTGAAGAAAAAACGGAACACACAACACACAGACTGGAAACTATACAGAAAAATCTGCAACACGTTTCCGCTAAACCAACACATCAGCAGTCAGGAGGACATAGACAAACAGATTAACACGCTCCAGAAGAACATACACCATGCCCACTACAATGCCTCTCGACTCACCAAAACCACAGACAAAACAAGGTACACTGATCCACATTTGCTAACCCTAATAACGAATCGCAACAGACACAGAAGAAAATACCAGAAGACAGGGCACCTGCCACACAAGCTGCAGAGAAACATCTTAACAACACTCATACAAAAAAGGATCAAAACCACCCGAAGCAACATCTGGCAAAACCGCCTGGAAAAAATAGAGAAACCAGATTACACACTACGGCAAATATACAAGATGACAGGACTGAACCCCCCCCCCCCCCATGCCTCCACTAAATGAACCTGCAGATAACTCCACACACTACGCGCACCTAGATAAAGCAAATGCCCTTGCCGCATTCTTTGCCAAAATACACAACGACGAGTTACAACCCAACACTGCAAACAATCCGATTAACCAGCCCTCCCCACATCACGATAGCCCCCACATCGTACAGAAAATAATTACAAAGCTACAGCAAACCCCCGGTCCAGTCAAGATCTCAAACGTCGAACTAAAGAATCTTCCTAAAAAAATCATGGTGCAAATATATTACATCCTCAAAGTATGACTCCAACTATCATACTTTCTCAAGACTTGGAAGCTAGCCAAAATTCATCCGGTCCCCAAACCCGGTAAACCAACCACAGAAGCCACCAGCTACAGGCCCATCAGTCTGTTAAACACACTAAGTAAAGTACTAGAAAAAATCATTTACCACCATATCCTCAAGCATCTTAACAACAACAACATAATTATACCACAGCAATTTGGATTCCGTAAAAAGCTCTCGTGTATTAATCAACTACAAAGAATTACGGAGTACGCCACAATAGAACTAAACAAAAATAGGATAACATAACTGGTACTACTCGACCTCGAGAAAGCGTTCGACAGTCTGTCATGAAGCCCTACTGCACAAATTACGAAAAATCGGGACTCCTACCCCAATCACCAACATCATCGAAAACTATTTACAAGACAAATAATTCTATGTATCAGTACAAGGAACCAAATCATTGACACACACCATCAAGGCCGGAGTACCGCAGGGTTCCATTCTCGGACCAACGCTTTTCTGTATATACATTAACGACATTTCCACCACTAACACCCGAACCGCCACATATGCGGACGATACTGCCATATACGCGTCATCATAGAATCCGACACAGGCAGCGAAGTATTTACAAACCCACATCAACGCCATACTTGAATACACGAAAAAATGGAGACTAAAAATTAACCCAAAAAAGAGGCCATCAGATTTTCCCGCAGACCCCTGCAAGTCACAGCTAAAGTACTGATCGATGAACACTCCATCCCATGAACCAATACGGCCAATTACCTAGGAATAACACTAGACAATAAACTCACATGGGCTAAAGCCATAGAAAAAAGAACTACTCTCGCCTACCCAGCACTGTCCAGAATATACTCTCTCATAGCCCGAAATAGCAAACTCAAGAAGAACATCAAAATCTTACTGTACCTAACATGCGTAAGACTAATAATTACTCATGGATATCAAGTCTGGGCCTCTACTGCCGAAGCATACATCAACAAAATACAAATCATACAAAACAAATTCCTTCGAATCATTCTCAATAAACAAAGGAACACAGCCGTAGCATAGCTCCATCAATTAGCCATCATCCCCACGATCAAGCTGTATATTCAAAACTTACTACCCGGGGCCTACAACAACAACCATCAAAACCCCCTCATCAGAGAAACAGGCAACAGAAAACATCACTCAAAGTCAAGTTCGAATTACCTAAACACGCATTAACTTAACGAACAACCTGAATCAAAACCTTCAGATTCAAACTGTATCAAGGAATCTGCATGTTATTTGAAACTTTTCCTGCAAGCCTAACCTCACCTCATCATGCGACCAAACCACACAAATATCCACAAACTAATAATATCAAGTTAAAGGACACTCCAGGCCCAGAGTACTGCAGAAGAGACATCCTGACTAATTAAATAAATAGAAAGAAACCGGACAGTTTATGTTTTGGCAATCGCATAGTGCGCTCCAAAGTTCCGGAACAACCCATTGACGTAAGACAAGTCACGGTTCGACTATCAAATTCACTCAAATTTTATCATTTACTAATTCAAGCTCTGTTTTACGACAATCTCAATCCTACCAATCCAACACTAAAACAACTCTATCTTTCCAGCTGACTTTCATTAACGTTGAAAAACAGCAAGCCACCGATCTGCTCAATGCTACTTATACGTCGAAGTCAGATCGGCACGCAACACAACAAATAGTTTTAAAAATAATTGCATTTATTGATTAAAGTGCCTCGCACCTGTTCCAAATGATGTCATTGGATAAGTTAATACAAAATTGACTGTGAATTGTTATTGAATAACTATTAAATGTGAATTGTTATTGAATAACTGGTAATTGTGAGCTAGCATATTTTAAATATTAGTCTGTCAGTTGAGATTTTTGTTTTAAATTTTCCAATATTAGTGACAATAAGTTCCTTATTACAACATAAACATTTGCAATTATGTTTAATTCTAATCGATGGATTAAAATTTAATTCAAAATACAATTTATTCTTCCTGGCACCTAAAAAGCTATCACTTATCTGAAACTATCTGAAACAATCAGAATAATTATATTTTCACAATGAAAAATTAAATACAAAATATAAATTAGCATGCATATATATATAGGTAATAAAATTGTAGCGGCTAGTAGATGTCGGAGAAAAGACATTTTCTCAGACAGAAAAGTTAGAAGAATTTACGACTCACGTGGCACCGACACTATTGAATTGAAACGGCTAAAATCAGTTTTGCAGTGCGTTAGACCGGATGTCCGCACTTATAGTTTTAGAAATACAGCCTCAATAGCATTTCTGCGAAGCGTCGTAAACGCTTGGATTCCTAAGGGCCACCCAGATCAACATTTGGAAAACACTTGGAGAAAGTGAGTGAGGCCTAGAGGAAACCCTGCTACACCGCCACAATTCGAGGAAAATGGGTCCCGGTGAAATTGCAGCCCCACTCTCAGAGAATATTCCTGCGTCTCGAAAGGAATAGGCGGCGCAATTTCGTGACAACCTAATTGGTCAAAACGCAAAAACGGTTAAGCCAATTAGGGATGTCCGAGACGGGGACCGAGTTTTCCTCGGAGTCATAGTAAAAGAACACGAGAAAAATTCGGAGCCGTCATCGAGTACGAATAAACTCTGCGATACGCTGCGAACGAAGACAGTCTCCGCGTCTATTGTAAAATAACAAATAAAAGTGTTAATAGACAATTCGAGTCCAAAGGTTATTATCCTGCACTATACTCGCAAAAAATTACTCTGGAATCAAAATTTATTATTTGATCAATACTTGAAATTTATGGAAAACTCGATAAACTTATGGCTACTAATTATTTAATTTCTGTACTACTCGAAAAGGATCACATCTATGGGACTCAAATAACTAAAATAGACTTAATCTTATTTGCAATTGACAAAGATAGAGTAATTTGAGAAGACAGATAATTAGAGAATAAATTTTGTACAAAATCAAAAAAGTATATAACCGTATCTGCTACTATCAAAGTTTTTAGCGTCTCTAAATGCTTAAGTAGATAACAAGAATATCGACATATTTAAATTCAAAATTATATGCATAAAAAATAGTTTAAGTGACGTACACACAATTAATAGAGGGCGTAGTTAATTAATATAGTTTTCCATAATACAGTTGAAAATTTCTGTACAGTTGAAGCGACCAGGTTATTGATTGATCAGACTTGATTTCAACTCGATTGATGCAGTATTTTGATGAGCAACTGTGACAAAATTACCAAATTGCCTTGGAATTCTATAAAAAAAAGATTAGAAAATCTAGGGTTTCTGCAAACAATATTTCTCCTGTATAGTCTTTAAGACATACAGCATTTGAAGGCAATATTTTAGGCCATAAAACTTATTATGCATTGTTGAGCAATCGTTGCCCATCTCAAAGTTGTGGATGGAACTCAATGATTCTAAATATCAGTATAAGGATTATTGAACGGAACGAACGTTGAGGAAATTATTATTATTATGAAATTATTTTGTAAAGAAAACGACAAAGGAAATTAGGCGCGTACCTTATTACAAGAATTTTGCTATAAGTAAATATATAAACATAAGTATGTAGTATATATAATTCTCTAGAACCTGAAATGATTTTCAGTGATTGCGATTGATAATGTGTAAAGCGACGTACTTAATTGAAAGATAATACCTTTAATCATACATTTCAGGTAATGAATGAACAGGTACTTTTATTCCGGTGCATCATTTCTAACACATTCTAAATGCGTGCGATGTTAATATAAAGTATCATCTTATGGTGGCAACATTAACGTATATCAACTGGTGCATCATATATGGTCCGCTAACGTATTATAGTCGTTGTCATTATTTCTGAGTGGAATACATAAGCATAAAGAAGGACCAACATAATTTGAATTGCTGGAAAAATATTTCATTTTCATTTTATGTATTTTGAATTTTTACGAAAATATTTCTTACCGTGCTCAAATTTTCGAATGTAGGTACCCATGTACCATAGAAATTTAATACTGCTGAATGATGGTTTCCTTGCATAATAAAAAGTAGCAATTTCTGTATTGATAACGATAAATTATACCATTCCATAGTATATCTAAAAAAACCATATTAAGATTAATTGACAAAACGGAAATAGAATAAAACGTGATATTTAATATAATTTTACATTCTATAGCATATCTCAGAATTTTTTACTTGTAAACGATGCTTCTTTGTTTAAGAATTTACTTGTTTGCGTAAGCTTGTGAGTTGTTCCATGCAATTGTCTTTCAAAGTTATTCGAAAAAATTTTTCCGATGGAATTTATTGCGTTTCGAAAAAGACACATAATGATGTTCAAGATATTTTTATCGGGAGGGGTGTGCCACCAATTTATTTGTGCTTTCTTAGTAGTATGAGAAAATCCGAAAGTGTATTTTGTACTCAAGAATGAAAATTCGATTATCACGTCGGAATTTCCGACTCTTTCAAAATTTCCGGTTTTCCGAGAATTCTAAAATTACAAAAAACAGAACATGAAATATGTGATATCCAACATTTTGTTTCAAATTTTCATTCAAAAAGATTTTGAAAGCTGTTCAAAGAATTTCCGACTTTATTGGAAAATCCGAACATTTGCCGAAATCATTCCGAAATTTAAAGAAATCTGATTCGAATCTGAAAAAAATATCTGCTATGATCTAATATTTTCGGGTCCTCTCACATTACCACTGATTTTTTCAAATGAAACTATATTTGCGATATTGTGCATTCACACGAAAGTTACGATTCCACTGGAATTAATTCTACTTTTATATACTGTGCATCTTTGCGTACTTTATTCTTCACGTTTATACAGAGTAATTTGTATCAAAGAAATAAATGGCCAACTTAGGTACTGTATTCTGTATTTGGTACTGCCATTAATGCACATAAAAGAAACTATAAGTCGGAAAACCTTTCCGTTCCAAAATTAACCCTTTAATCATGATTAAGTACTGTAAAGTTATTCAAAATTTATTCAAACGAATCGTTGAAATTCATTTTTTTTCTAGCAATGCGTACTTCTTTTAGAAGACATTAAAAAACTACTAAATTCCAAATCCGATATATATTAATTTAGTACATATTTAATATGTATTAATATATTTCAAATTTTTCACATTAGGTAATAATCCGATTTTTGAATATTTTATCAATAGTGTTATTATCATAAATCAAACATTTAAACTTTTCTCATAAATAAAATTCCAAATTATGGCTGAAACTCAGCATCTAACAGTTATTCTATTGTACTTAGTATTCGATACAAGCAAAAAATGTTTATTCCTCGAAAAGGAACAGTTTTGAAGATTTGAATATTTTTAACATACTATATATATTTATCATAATATATTGGTCATTTATATTTTAGCCATATTATATGTTGATCCAATTATTTCCTAAAGACAATAGAATATTATACTAAACAATTTAAATAACTCACTCCTCTTCCTTAAATACCTCATATAAAGCTATTATTTATAATATGCAAGTGACGTATAATGATAGAAAAATTACATAATATTTAAATTATATGTACACAATTTATATACGTGTAATATATATATATATAATAGTATATTTATACAATATATGATGATAAATATACTTTTTCAAGACATGTGGCTTAAAGCAACAAATAGAAAATAATAAATCGTATGTAAAATGAATCTCATATAAAGAGTAATAAAGAAACAACTCGCGATTAATTAATTAAAAAAATTATCAAATAATTGAAAATCATTTTGCGTACTTACGGAATATAAAAGAATTTCTGACTTTCGTCGAATATGCATTGTATTGTATGGTATGTAACAATAACCAACAGTGTAACACATATTATCATAATGAAGTTCATAATCATGACAAAACTATGTCCATGGAACATCGTCCTAGAAAGCTAAACAAGATGTACCATAAACGTGATACAGGGTTGAGAATGCGAATCTGACGATTTCTGAAATGAAATAGTTTCAAGTTTTCACATTTTAAGTAAGTATGACAGATAAATTATAATATAATTAAATTTTATGTAATAAGATTTCTCTGATACATATTCCATTATTTTTCAGAGACTACTCCAACTAATATTCAAAGATTTGTTATTATTTTATCACTTACATTTTATCAAGAAACCTTGCAATTTTAATCGTTATAAATCTCAGATTAATCGTTGCTTTAACTCTCGAATCTTACATTTTGCCGAGATAATTATATAATTAATAAGCGCAACAAGCGATTACGTGACTTAATCTTTGTATTGTTAATTGAAACAATTGACAGCTTTCCAGATTAAAAATCGTCAGATTTCTGTCACATTATTTATGCAACGTTTTCAGTACGGGATACATTGTGATGATACTTACATTGAACATGATCACTGCGTAATATATTGACATTCCTAGAAAGTATAATAGGCAGGAAAATGAGAAATTATGTTTCAGATACCTAATCCACCTTTGAAAAAGAATTAAATGAATTAATATAATATAAGCATGTCTAAGTAATGTGATGAGTCTAATTTCACGTTAATGTGAGAAAAACTTAAGAAGACATTTAAAATATTCAAATTCAAAGACAGCAAATATTCGCAAAAATATACTTTGCATACGTATTGGTGTACCAGCGCTTAACTAAAAAGGTACTAACTTTATTATTAAGTTATAAATTTCCATTGATTTTATTATTTTGTTGCGTATAACGATTTCCTTCTTGGAACTGGCCATTTCTATCGAATTTCCATCCACGGCATTTTCCATTTGGTAACTAATAAATGTGAAAAACTTCATAATATCCAATCGTTATTGGTACAGAATCAAAACTATACTCACGCAGCAATTTTGTACAGTTCACATATATGCAGAGTAGTGAATAAAAAGAAAACATTACGACAATGCGTAACTGCTCCTACCGAAATGTACATAATGCTCGTCAAAATGAAAGACAAATAATAATTTCGAGATTTTTCCAGAAGTGTCATTGAAATAAACGGTAAATAACAGAGAGTTTTGTTCGTAGATATTAAAGACTCGAGAATGCGATGTGGAAGGAACAGCGTCAAAGAAAGAGCGAAATAACCAGTACAAATTACAACTGCAATGCATCTTAAATATTATCGTTATACTTTTTCTCGCCAACTTATGCGACGATTAATTTATTTCTTACTTAAATAAATTTTTGCATAACGGTTTTCCATCGCTACATGTGTTTTAGGTATTTTCAATTCTTCTTTGTCTTGTATATGATTCGAATCACGTTTGATATCCTTCAACCAATCCTCTATCTTGAAAAATCCAGAAAAGGTATTACATGACACGATATTATAATGACTAAATAAAGTTAATTGGACTTTTGTACCTTACCTTTACAGATTTAACAAGGAATAAACCATATACTATATTTACATTTGCTATTACAACTATAATGCCCGTTTGGAATGAAAACAATTGAGAGGTGCAAGTGTTATTTTTCATGAGACAAAACTAAAACGATTGATAACAAAAATATAAATAAAAAATTAATTTTTTCGCAAGTAATGTATTTGTATAATTATATTTCGTATGAATGGAATATCCTTACCATGAGAAATATTGAACCGAGAAAAAGTATTAGACATACGATCGTAGTATGCACTACTCTTAACTGCGTTGATTTGTAGGATGTCAGTCCTATCATGAAGAAGCAGAATTTCAGGTGTCTATAATACTTGTAGCCAACGAAGTCCATTCTATTCGACTGTCGGGAAATGTCTGGCCGCGGTGGTGGCTTTACACGTTTCGCAGAAAATTAAAAAGAGGGACAAAAATACTGACACCGTCGCGTGACACAAGTTATAAATTACGCATGAGGGGAAAATGACAGTCCTCCATCGAAGCGCGTGAATAATAAATATGTTTCCAAGAAGAAACGTTACTTTTATTCGTTCTCTTCCTGTTTTCCTGCAATTTTTGCACAGTTACGCTGAGTTTTAAGAAAAAATTGTCTCCATGGCATAGGGGAAAGTGTCAATCAACCCCAGGTGTTTTCTCGCATTTCCAAGCTTTATGGTAACATATGTGCGTGCATGAAAATTACTGGTTACAAAAAGAAGAGTCAGTTCTTTACTGTCGTTTGAGAAGTGAAGTTGGAATTTCTCTATTGCTATTGGGCTCTATTGCTATTGCTATTGCTCTGTTTTTATTTTTCTGCATTTTATTTTTTTCGCGTTTTGATGTTCTCTTTGTATGAGCATATGAACGTTCTCCTCGAGCTGTACAATATTTATGCTAGACATAATAGACATCGTGAAGTGTTACATTTTATGAAAATTTTTTACGGGAAATGCTATATTTTTTTTTAACCTACTGCTTTCTACTGACAGAATATTTTTATCCTGTTTTAAATTGCAATTATTTCCAAACTAATCCAGAATAATATCGTGGATACTGGATTAAGAAAATCGTTGAAATACTGTACGATCAGTATTATTGCTAGAATAAAGAAAAAATGTAACGGTATGTATTTAGCTGTTTGAAGTTTGTATTGTATCTTTTTATTGTTTGTATGTTTGGAAGTTGGACACACCTGCTCATTAATTTTATTATCCTGTTTATTACATTTAGTATTTTGATATAATTGATCTATAAATTTCTTGTATTTTTATCTTCTAATATTCTTACTGAGTTCATTGTTACTTTGAATCAGAAAGTCTGTGAACTATACTACATCCATGATATATGTATAAAAAACATGATACTTAATTCTAAAGGATATTCTCAAGTATCATCAACAATGACATGACACGCTGATTTTAATGAAACAATAGTATCGATGTACTTGAAATTGTGCTTTGATAATGTATTATGTTCGCTCGATATTATTTTCGTTCGTATTTATTCGCAATTAGATCATAGTTAACTGTTATAAGTATGTGAAATTAATAACATAATTCAATATACTTTTTCATAGAATAATCATAGGTAGAATAAACGGGCACTTTCCGAGAAAATAAATACTGCGAAATCAACTTTTCCGATTACGATGCAGAAGCAAACTCTACATACTGTGATTCCCATTAATATTGAATTGTCATAGTTTTTTAAATATTATCATATAATAAACTTAAACTCCTTTTAAAGCCTGAAACCTCTACTCTTAAAATATGTACATTATTCATTTTATTTTAAAACATTTTTAGATTATGCAAATATACGAAGTGGAAGATACTTTTTTCGAATGTGCTATAAATTATCATAGTACGTGAAAACATTAAAATTTTTTCTCACGAGTAAATATACAGCGACACTTTAAAACTTTTATTGTATGTTCCTTTTTTTCCCCAATTTACGATATTTTGAATTCTTCTAAGCCTGATATTTAGATTCATAAATAACAAGGAAACATCATACATCAAGTTTTCTGGGGTTATTATAAGGAGGACACGTCAATCTTCAAATTCATTGTAAATTCAGTCATAAATGAAATTTTTCGATTCTGCTTCTGCGTACTATGACAATTTATTTCAAGATGAAAAGTATCTTCATTTGTCCTCCTATTAAGTGATGTAATAGTATTTTACGATAAAATGAAAAACGCATTTTGGAAATAAAAGCTTCAAGTTTTAAAATGAGCCCAGATTAAGTATTATATGAATGTTTTTTTTACAAAATCATAGTATTCGTATAGTTTATTATTCGATCATTTATAATTTTTATGATTTTTCATCGTTTATTGTTAGAGGAACTTCTCCTTTCCTGGGATTATTAGCGAATTTGAAGTTTTCTCTGCTGTTGAATATCAATTAATCATACATCAGCGAAGTTTCGAAATTTTACGATACGTTAGTCTCCAAATCAGCTTTCGAGGAAGCTCAGCACTGATACCTTTAAATTTAAACGAACTAATCAAAATTCATTTGCCCATCGACAAAATTCGGGAATAAAACAATACATGAACCAAACTCTCACCGATCTCAATGATTTTTATATGTGTTAAAAAATTGACAAATTCTTGGAAAGAGAAAGCTGTTTAAATGTCGATTTCTACAACATAGTTAGAATTAAACGAGATCAATGAGAGAATGATTGATCTATGAATTTACTGATTCGTCTAATCACTCGCTTTCAAATGTCTTTGAACATTTTTAGTTTTAATATTCAGTAGATATTTACGATAGTATATTGTCATTAGTATATTATATTGTCATTAATGTATTAATGCTTCACAAATTTTTTATTGTACAAAGTATTATTTAATTTTTCTAATTTTAATGCAAATGTGATAGGTATTGTCTTGCGATTTTAGAACCGTCAATGCGAAGAAATGATTGAATACTTCGAATATGTTCCCACGGCTTAGACGAATAGTTATTTCTCATGTATTTTGACATTTGACAAAGAATTAAATGAACATGGAATGATTCTGGATTTAAATTTGGTCGAATTGGCGAACAACTGAGCATTTGTTTCATTCAAACGTACTGTTGGAAATATTACGTAGAGTGTGTAAATTATGACATTCCTAAAAGTCAGGAATATCTTCAATTGTTATAGTTTTTTAATTTGTGGACAAGGATATTTCACCAAACATTTAGTCATCTGCAGCTTGGCTATTTTATTTTAACTTTCTAAACATACATTAGTGATTGTCTGTTATTGCAACATATTTGCATGAATTTCATTTAGAGATAGGTTTAGGTTATTCTTTCTCGTAAGAAAATCTATACTATTCATCTGAAATAAATAACTAAATATATTTTTATATCGTGCGTAATAAATATAGCATATATGAATTATACATATGAATTATACAATAATGATACATAGATTAGCATGCCGGATTAGTATATAATTATTTTGGATTTCAAATTAGTTATCATATTAATATTAGAAAACCTCAAGAGAAAAATATGACAAATCTATATTTGTTTATTTTCTTTGATTACTTTATTACTCTATTACTCTACATTACTTAAATTAAGAAACGAATTTTTTTGTGATTTGATTAGCCGACATTAATTCATAATGTATGAAGATATATTATCCTTAAAAAATGGATCCGAAAAGTTTTGGATTATATTTCATAAGGAATAACTATTTTAAACAATTTATCGCTATTAGTATCGTTAATATTTGAATACATTAGATAGCAAAACACATTTTCAAGCTTCAAATAAAGTTCAAGTAAGGTAGAATTAATTGGAAATATACTAAATGTTAAAATTCCTTTTTTGTACAGAATGTACACAGTCAACCGATTGGGAAATGATGCTACATGTAAAAATGAGTTGATAAGAAAGAATACAATTTATTAAAGCCATCGAATGAAGATGAAGTTTGAAAACTTATCAAGCACACTTAAATTTATCTAATCCTAAATGTGATAGAAAAAAATAGTTTTAACAGGAGATTGTTCTACGTATGAGAAGAAATGTGCCAGATGTCCTAACATACCTCTCACCTAAAGACACTTTCTCTAACCTTAGAGGGAGAGACAGTGTGTGGAAAGGCTCGATAGGGCATAAACAAAGTCCAGCCTAGGAAACAAGGCGCCTGGGCCGGCTCCAGAAAGTGTCATACCATTCTAGAAAGTAACGTTGATTCACGTAGCACAGATATCATTCCAGGCAGTCACAAGCAGTCCGTCAGAAGAGAGCTAGCGTGCACTCTCCCAGCTCATAACACACAACACATTCATACAACAATCAACATTTGTACAATAGTAAAATATAAGCATTTTATTCTACACCTCGTCCTCATTCATAAAAACATCCGGAGGCTGTAAAAGGCACGACGAGAAAAAGCCCAGCGAAGCGGGTAGCAACTACCGTCGCGCCGCGCCGTAACAGCCAATTTTTAATGAAACATATACAGAGTTTATTTTTCTAAAAATGACGCTTTCAAAACGAAAACATTTCATTCTACTTTTTTCATTTATTTTTACGCCTAGAATATCTCCGTGCCGGTTATTCGCACCATATCTTGTTCAGAATTAGTTAAATTCAAAATATAATTGATATATTTTCAAACTTATTTTTCTCGAAAACGAAAGAATATTACGAAAATTTACTTATATTATTGTATTTACTTTTTTCTTATATCATTATACTTCACTTATAATATTACATTAAGAAAAAATTTTTATTTTTCTTCTCGACACAGTTTTACATGCAGAATTATCTCCAGTCACACATAGCACATAAATGACAGATACTTCATCCCATTCTCTTTATTCGATTTTGAAGACAATATCTTTAACCAATAAATAAGCATGATGATATTCTCACGTGAATGAACAAATTTTCATTGTAATGGTCCACTTTTAACTCAATACAAGTACATCTGATGTTTATTAATATAATACATCATTTTAAAAACAATACTAACATATCAACCAATTTGCTGTATTTCTAGTCAATCTGCAAATATACCATAGTCGTCGTCATTATTTCTGCATGGAATGCAGCAGCGTAAAGTAAAATCATGACAATTTGGTTTGCTGGAAAATATTTGTTCCTCAGTTCCTGTATTTGGAGTTTTCACGGAAGTGTTTCTTACCACGCACAATCTGTCGATTGGTACCCATATGTTAGAGATATTTAATATTCTTGATTGATGGCTTCCTTATATAATGAAAAGTAGCAATTACTGTAATTATAATAATAAATTTCCATTCTGCAATATATCTGAGAAAACCATATTAAGATTAGTACACAAAAATGGAATAAAATGTTCCACTTGATACCATTTTAATACTTTCTACAGCATATTTCAGAA